CTGGGTGTTGTGGCAGGCACCTGTAATCCCAGCTACTTGGGAGGCTGAAGCAAGAGAATTGCTTAAGCTCAACAGTTTGAGGTTGCTGTGAGCTGTGACACCACAGCTCTCTACCAAGGGCAACATAGTTAGACTCTGTCTCAAAACAAAAACAAAAACAAAGAAAGAAAGACCCTGTTAAGAAGATAAAAAAGCTACAGAACGAGACAAAATATTTACCCATATTATATACATGTAATATTTATTACAAAACACTTATCTGACAATGAAATTTACATTCAGAATATGTAACAAACTCTCAAAACTCAATAGTAATGAAACAAAGGACCTAATTAATAATGAACAGACATTTCACCAAAAAGGAACACAAATAGCAAATAAGCTATGATGCTCAATATCATTAGCCACTAGAATTAAAAGCACAATAAGATATCACTACATATTTATTAGAACAGCTAAAATAAAAAGCATGGTGAAAATATCAAATACTAGAGAAGATGTGGAGAAGCTCTATCACTCATACCTTGCTGGTGGGAATGTAAAATGGTACAGTTATTCTAGAAAATAATTTGGTCATTTCTTAAAATACTAAACGTGCAACTAAGACTCAGCAATTGCACTGCTGGGCATTCATCCCAGAGAGATAAAAATTCATGTCTATACAAACGTCTACAGTAGCTTTGTTCATAATAGCCCAAACTGGAAACAATTAAGATGTCTATCAACAGATAATGGTCAATCAATATGTGGTACATTCATACTATACTACTCAGCAATAAAAACGAACAGAGCACTAATACATGCTACGACATGTAAAACAGGTTAAAAACACATAGCAAAAACATATGCTCAGTAAAATGAGTCACACATACAAGACCACTTATTGAATGTTGACTTTACATAAAGAGTCCAGCATAAGTAAATCTATTAGTGGTTAACTAAGATTGGGGGTCAGAATAGGGACTGAGTGCAAATGGGCATAGGACTTTTTTGGGGGGTAGCAAATATTCTAAAATTGGATAGTGGTGATAGTTGTACAACTTTGTAAATATACCAAACCCCACAGAACTATATACTTTAAATGAATGAATTTCATGGTATATAAATTATACCTTGATAAAGCTAAAACGATTTTTAAAAATTACGGTAACATTTTT